GATCCAAGATCACGCGAAATCGTCAACAATCAAATCCAGCTAACTTACTTAGCGAGGTACGAAGAACAGATCCCGATGAGCACACACGTGATTCTTAGTATTTTGGTGTCAACACAGAGCTGACAGCACAAATCAAAGATGAAAACCAGCACAAAGAGACTTTAAAGCAGTCGACACAGGAGTTCTACTTTAGAAATGTGAACAAGTAGAAACAGGGGCTGCAGCCTGACTGCTCATCAGTTTGTTACCTGTTGAAGTTCAGCAGCGGCTGACTTCGCAGCAAATGATGGCTCATTTTATCACAGTGCTGGGTTTGGTCAGCATTTACTCAGCTTTAACGTCAATCTGGGCTCTTGGTTAGCTTAGCATTAGCATTCTGTCTTTGCAGGTGCTTGCTAAGAGCCAAAGTTCTAATGTAATGTCCATATCCACGCCAAAGACTGCGCCACTGTTTTCCTCCTCTGACACACGAACTGAAATCAGCTGGTCGTAGCGAGAGTGCAAGAGGGATCGATAGGCAGGAAGATTCCAAGGAACTGGTCTACTGGGAACCGGTTTTTGTAGAGAACCGGTTCTCGATTCCCATCCCTACTCATGGTCTATATTTGGATCATATCACAAGTCTATTTATGGATTCAAAATACATATATGAGCTGTATGTGCACTGTATTATTATTATTGTTGTTGTTATTATTTCTCTTCCAGTTAATGATAACTACAAATCTGGTGGAGAGCATGTAAAAAGTAAGCACAACAAACACGACACACACAAACATGCACAGTCAAAGCTCAGGGTGACCCGTTTTTACCAGGTTTTCCATGACCTTTAACACTGAGTGGAATTGTTAATCATTGATGCTGAAGAGGACCAGGATGAGCTCCTCTCTATTCTAATCTGTTCATTTTGGTGTCATTTGAAGCAGCACCGTCCACATTATATTAGAGGGTTAGCACAAAGATTGTAGAGCTAATTAAGACAATCTCCTGTTGTGATTAAGGGATTGTAGTGTGGATCCATCAATCCTCAAGTTTCTGCAGTAGTCTACATATTATAGAAAATATTTCATTGCTGTAAAAAGTGTGAAACAGTTTTCTTGCAGCAAAACCATTACATTAAAATTCAGTGTGTTAAATACGTTGCAGCTGTTTACGGACAAACTTCAGACATTTTATCGTTCCATCCTTTTACTTTTTTATAAGCATGTTAGCACGCTGAGATAGTGGACACTGCATGTTCCCATGTTGCTGATAGCATTTTTCTCAAAGCACTGCTGTAACTGCAGCCTCAAAAAGTTGCCGGCATAACTGCAGATTTGTTATTAATTAATCTTTTATATTTTTTTCCTAAGAGCTTTTTTAACCTCCTAAGACCCGAACTCTTCCATGGCAGCATTTTTAATTTCTCTTTGCTATTTTGGCTGATTGGGACCTGATGAATGTAAATGTTTGTGAATGTTTTACCTGATTTTTGTTTCTGAGAAAAATTAGATTCACATATGAGGACATTCACATTAAATTTCAATAGAACAGTGGCAGTGTAACGTCCTCGTAAGTGGATATCAGGCCCTTGTAGAGCAAAATTTGGTATTTTGGTCTAGACAACCCAAAATGTGTAGTCAATGTGGACGCCAGATCCTAGGAGGTTAAATTGGGTTTTTGTGGGGGTTTATGTGCTCTAAGGGGATGTTTCTTTCTTTCTTTCTTTTAATGGAAACTCTCCAAATTTGTGAATTTGACTGAGTGGCATGTTGTTTGTTGTGACATTATTTCAAACCAAATATCATTCATACCATTCATATCTGTTGTATTGGGGAGGTGGCCGAATTCACAGTGCGGTGAACTCCAAACCTCAGCAAATGCAACTGTCTACAGGGCAACATGCAACCAGGGGTAAGTGGCAAAAAGATAATGTAATATAATGTAATGTAGTAATACTTACTTTGTGTACAAAAACAGTCTCTCACATTTTTCTGGAGGAATTGTTGCTCACTCTTCTTTACAATGTTGCTTCAGTTCATTACACAGCATTTCAGTCAGGTCGACTTGGCCATCAAAACATCCTGATTCTTTTATTTTGAAGCTGCTGAACATGACCTGACATCTCACTTCAGTTTACTTTGGTATAGAGTGGAGACTGCGAGGTGTCCGGGTCCAGTGGCTGCAAAATGAGCCCAAATCGTCACACCTCCACCCCCATGCCTGGCAGTTAGTGTGGGGTGTTTGTGCTCATATGCTCTGGCTGTTTTCCTCCAAATGTGGTGCTGTGCATTTTGGCCAAACTGTGTGGTCTCATCTATCCACAGGACATCGTTCCACAAGTCTTGTAATTTGTTCAAATGCAGCTTTACTGTGCTGCCATGTTTTTCAGAGAAAAGAGGTTTTCTCTCAAAAACTTTTTCAAATAAACAGCCTTGTTCAGGATTTTTTCTAATTGTGGAGTCATAAACTTTAACATTTAACATGCTAACTAAGGCTACGTCCACACGTGCACGGGTATTTTTGAAAACGGAGATTTAACGTTTTTGTTTTAAAAAATAATCCCGTCCACACGTAAA